AGCTTAAGGGATTACTTAAATGGCCATGGCTGGAGTATTTTTTTATAACATCAGCTTCATCTCAGTACCGTAATTCCACTCACAGTAATAGGGATTATGACGGGGTAAATTAAACGAAATGCTTGCTACTTCTTCGACTACGATCGCGTAAAATTGTAGTCTTCTTAGTTACCAAACATTTCATCGATATTTTTGTGAAACATTTCAACATCATTTGTTGGTATGCGGTGTACTGAATTTATTTTGAAAATACTAACGATACTGGATACTGTTTTGTTACCGCCCTCATTGGGTAGGTAATTGTCTAATTTTAACTGTTAACACGACATTGGCTTTTGTCATTTGTAAGATATTTATGTTCTTTAAAGAAAATCCAAGTTATAGAAGATTTCTGTATTTATTTTTTAAACAGGATGTCGTGCCCGATAAAGGCTGGCAGTTACAGGATACAGTCATTCCCGTTCCCGATCGAGGACAACTACGTGAGCGTGTCCGAGTCCAAGATATCAACCAGCGTATTCGGATACACCTACACGATCGAAGGAATACTCGAGCGAAATAAGGTAAGTCTCATGTTAGTAAAAATAGCTTTGCTATGAATAAAGTACCTATATATTCCTTACAATAAAATCGGACAGTTTTTGAAGTGGAACAAGGACAACCGGCTGCTGGAGCGTATTTTAAAACCAAATCAAAACTCCCCTGTAACTCACAAAGTGAACTTGATCAAAACGGTTCGTGAACGACAAATCAACTGGCCGTTCTGCTATTTAGCGAGATCTCATTCTTGGGTAAAACAGGTCTCTGAGAGAAGAATATTAATATCGTTCGGTCACAAAATGGGCGAACAAAAATTTACTATCACTAGCTCCTCTGTACTTCGGAAGGCATGTGAAGCCGTTGGTCCCGGCCACAGAATAGAAAGAGCTCCCGGCTGCATCTGCCGCACCCACCTATCCTCAATTAACCCCGGATGATTGGACTCGTTAGCACACAGCAATTTGATGATGAGTCATGGTTCAATATCTGTATTCCATCCATAGGGGAGGCCTGTGCCCCACAGTGGAGAAATTAATAGGTAATGATAGTAATGATAATTTAAGAAAATTTTGTATAGTTAGTACCTACCTAGTCCGAGATGAAATATGTGCAGGTAACTTGCTTGGTCGCCCACATGCAGCTGATCTACATACACCCGCATGGCGTGGCGGCGGAAGGAGACCGAGCAGCCGGGAACAGCCTTGAGAACGAGTATTAAGGCGGGCTACTGACATCCCTACCGCAAGGCCAATCTAGGGCGCACGGCGGTCGGGGCAATATCGGCTTGTCTTTACAAACATGCCTGCTATTTAGTGTGCGGGTTGAACTAAACACACGCGTTGATAATGGGCCCCGTATTATCAAAAAATCAAAAGATCAGTAGCTAGGCTTTGGCTCTTTCCATGGTGTTAGCGCAAAAAAGGAAATACTGGGTTAAGAATTGGCAACAGAAAGAAATGTATTGTAAATGAATAATGTTTGGGTTTTTTTTATCCCACATGTGGGGCCGGTCTTTATATACTTCTGTCACTCAAGACCAAACTTCATTATGATCTGCCGCAATCTTGATCGTAATACGTGCTGCCTGTGTGACAGTTACCAAGCAACTGAATGGCAACTGATTAAGAAATTGCCCCGATCGCGCTACACACGCGGTAACGTGCAGGGCGGCCGGACCAATGTAGGAACGCCGCTGCCGCCCCGCCGCAGGGCCAATTTAGAAAAATTGCCCCTGCTTGCAATTAAGGGTCAACCCCACTCTTACACACTAAATTGCCCCTGCGGCAGGGATGGAAGGATAATATATTTAAAAATATTACCCCTGTTTAAATACTTTCAAATTAAAAAAGGGGTATTTTAAATGCACAGCAATAACTTCTCATCCATTAGGTTATTTACATAAATTAAATACTTTTTAATAAAAATAATTATTTTACTGCAAACAAAACATTTGTTGAACAAAACTACTCTACAAACAAACTAAACTAGCTTTGTTTAAAAAAAATATGTCATAGATCTGTTATGAGGTGGTTATTATTAAATATGCATTCTTAAAAAAGCTTTAGTTCTAAATAAATAGCGATGCATCAAGAACTTAAATTGTTACTAATATAAAAATATTTTGAGGTGACTATTTTGCTGTGCAATAAGTATTTTTGCTTAGAATTGCGAATTAATTTTCATACAAAACGACAATTTATTGATTTACAGTTAAATACAAGCCTTAAAAAAAACTATTTTATGGCGTAGCAAATTACTTCATGCCGTCTGATATTACAGTATAAGTGGAGTACAAATACCATTAGTACGAACCATAATCAAATTCGATCTTGGGATACGTCAAATGTGTACGGATTTTTTGTTCTCATTAAGTCCGTTGTGGCGCTGCTGTTCAAGTTTCCATACAAAATTTGACATTCACATTTATCGAAAAACTCGCATACTTAACGAATTCGATATTGCTAATGGTACAGACTAAGTAAGTGTGCCGTCTATCCTCACCACAGCCGGCTTTCCGTTGAGATTCAAATTTCCATTTTTTTTCTAAATGGCTTCCGCACGGCTTGTGCAGTGTTACCAACCCTTACCAAAATGTTCCCCTAAGTATTTTTTAAATTCTCCTAAAATCCCCTAAATACCTATACATTTTTTTAAGTACCTACTTATTACCCAAATTCTTTCGTTGCTCATAAATTAAAACGTTACATATTTAGTTACAGTAAATTATTTTATTAAATAAATACAGTTTCCGAAAGGACAATCAAACGAAAATGAGCTGACAAGCTGTTTAATCTTATTTAGCTTTAGTTCATACAGCCTAAGGGTGCGGCCAGAGTGCACTCAGATTGAGACTCAGATTCAGATTTCGAAAACAAGCGCGAGAAATAAACAGTGTAGTCGAAGGGTACGGCCAGATTGCACTCCTGATTTAGATTCAGATTCAGACTCAGAAAACAAAGCGCGAGAAAAAGCAGGCAAAAGCAGGGTGGCCATAGTGGCCGCAGGCAACCTGCTTAAACTACACTGTATATTTCTCGCGCTTGTTTTCTGAGTCTAAATCTGAGTGTACTCTGGCCGTACCCTTAGGAAACAACCCGCCACACAGTCAGTTCAGTCGTTTCATATCGTTGTGCGTTCCATTCTACGCACAAAACTGAACGAAAACACGCTTTGTTTTTCGATTTAATTGCAAGTTTTGAAAAAAGCCCCTAAAAGAACCCCTAAAAAAGTCCGGCAAAACCCGTAATGTGGGGAACCATGGGCTTGTGCATTTAGCCCATATCAAGTGTTAAAATGTTTACAAATACTATAACACTCGTGGGCAAAGTAATAAATCAAGTCAAAGTAAGTGGCAGTCAAGTCAATTCCCCTTTCCCTATGTTTCAGTAAAAGTGTGGAGATTTTCTGGACTTCTTGAAGGAACATCGAAACACACTTTCCGCTATTTTGTTTCACTTGCCAACACTTATGCATGTTCCCGGACACTAAGTGGTTAATAATCCACCATTATTAGACACTAACATCCACCACAACACAATTTTTAACAAGAAAAACAAAACTGCTAAATTGACGCTGCCCGATCCCGCCAAAAAGTCCCAAATTTCCATTGAAACACAGTGAAGAACCAAAGGCGTTTTTGGGAGTGGTTTAGGAGCTCGATGGCGCAGGTGGTTAGCTCATCCAGCCTGCAGTACCATGAAAGTCAAGCAACCTCCGCAATGGTCTGTCATTGGATGGGAGACAGACCAAAAACTTATTCTGGAGCTCCTCTGTGCTTCGGAAGGCACGACAAGCCGTTGGTCTAGACTGCATCTGCATTCGTTCTGAACGGACCAGGATGACATTTGGTGCACATATAGTTTATGACCTGGATTGAGACATAAGATACTTGCACCTCTCGCCTTTCGAGCGAATGCACCGAACCCTATGCCACCGCGGCCCTGATGGCTTCATAGAATTTTCTCTAGTCTTTCTTAGACTGCAAGGCAGCGCTGTCTCCTCGCATTGTAGGTAACCCACAATGTCAAATTAATACCTTTACAAGTACAAATTAAACATTTCAAAGAAGAAATAGCAATATGTATATAGTTTTATTTTTAAGCATTTAACTGCTAGATGGATAAATCTAAAGACCCGTCCGTGTGGATTTTTTTCTGGTAAAATTTTCTTTAGATATAAATATCAAGCAGTTAAATACTTAAAAAATAAAAAAATATAAACAGGTCCGTTATCACCCACCAATCCGCACCGGGTACGTTATCACCTACCAATGCGCGCTAGGTCCGTTATCACCCACCAATCCGCGCTGGGTCAATTATCATCCACCAAACCGAGCTGGATCCGTTATCACCCACCAAGCACTAGTATTCATAAATATAATGTAATGATTCATGAACTATTCATGTATTTTGTGACGGGTATTGTTCATTGTTTACCGATAAGTCATCGGTTACGCGTTACGCGCGTAACGCAAAAATTGTCACACTTCGCCAGTTTACCCCCCAAGTCAAGCGTGCCTAAAGAAGTTTCACTTCAAAACTAAAGTCAACACGGACGAATTCGCGGGCGGGCGCTAGTCTATATATATATATATAAAACTCAAAGGTGACTGACATAGTGATCTATCAACGCACAGCCCAAACCACTGGACGGATCGGGCTGAAATTTGGCATGCAGCTAGATGTTATGACGCAGGCATCCGCTAAACAAGGATTTTGATCAATTCTACCCCCAAGGGGATAAAATAGGGAATGAAAGTTTGTATTAAACTTTGTCAATTTTACACCGATCGGGCTGAGACTTTGCATGCAGGTATAAGAAGAATCATAGATGAATGTCAATGAGTATAATACAAGCCTGAGAACAAAAACTGTAGTCTACACTTCAGCTCCACACCGAACGAAGCGAGGGCGGGTCGCTAGTCATAAATAAAATATCAAATTAGATTAACAAACATTTATTCACTCGTCCCACCCCCACAGTCCGTGGCTTTCGCGTATAGTCTCGCGGTTGTCCCGCCGCGTCCGCGTGGTGGCGCTAGCTTCGCCTTTCGCTATGGCCTTCCTTCTCTCCATCTGTTTCTGTCTCGCTTCTAAATTCCTTTTGACTTGCTGCTTAACAACTTCCGGGGCTATGGTACTAGCTGACGTATAAGTCCTCATAGACCTGGCGTCAGATAAGGCTTTCTCTATCATCGCCAGTCTGCACTCCTGTGAGTTCTTTTCCGGTGACGTTTCATCGTGCGCATTTTTAGATTTAGCTGATTCAGTGTCGACTTTTATCAGTTCCGGCGCTTCTGAGTCTTCCTCTTGCCCTGTGATGCGGAGTTCTTTAGTTTTCACCACGACTTCCCCTATCGGTTTGGTTTCGTCGTCATGTATGGAAGCCTCAACCTGTAAAGTGTTCATTACTTATTGAGAAAAATGAAAAACATAGGAAACGCTAGCTGTTAATTATTTTAGCGCGTTTGGTTTGTAGTCGTGGAATTTAAACAAGTTCCGCAATAAGTGGTCATTAGTGTCGATTCTGGCATTCATCAAATCTGGCAAGAGTCATCCCTAAACCCTACACTCAAAAGAGACTGATCTCAAATTTAATTTAGTTTTAAGTATGAGAATAGGGTAGATGCAATATTTTTATTTTTGTTTTCATTTTAAAGAATTCCATGTAGAATAAACCACAGATATATTAAAAAATTAAAACATTGTGATTTATCGGAAAAAATGCGGTTTTAAATTGACAATTTAAATTTTCGCGCGAAAACGAACCTATGGTTGCGATGACGTCACTCCTGTCAGTCACTGGTCATAATTGTTCGTTGCTGGCTTTAAAATTTCATACTTTTGCATATTTTTTCGACTTTAGAAATATTTTTTTGAAAAATTAAAAATCTATCCATCAACATCGTGTGATCATAACAATACCACTAATATTCCGAAAAAAAGCCGTGCTGACTCATGTTTTTTGCCAATCTACTTCAACAAAGTTCCCAAATAAATTGTTTTTGACTGGAACTTCTGACCCAAAACTGAAAAAAAAGTGGTTTCAAGCTGCGAAGCGAAATGACAATTATTCTCCAAAGACTTGTTACTATACTTGTTATATGCTTAATTAATCTGCTTGTACGTAAAAACGCATTAGTAACCTACCTAATACTTACAAAACCTGTCTATAACATATTTTTAATTTTACAGTTGGAGAATGACGTCGAAAATTAGATAAAGTTTAAAATGTGTAGCACAATCTTCACATTGGCAGGACTGAACCAAGCTTTGCGTTTCATTTAAAATAACTGTAACACGATAACCTTCTTTACGTACTTTATGCTCCGGAGAACTCGACCTTTTGCTATACATTATTTTCCATCTCTTTTAATTTGGACATAGCCGATTGCATTATCGCCGTAAGATTTGTAGAAGCCGCTGAATAAAATACGAAGTTTAACAACTACGATTTTTACATCCCGTAGTAATTTAGTCCCTTTCATTTCTACACTTAAAAACTCTGCACTTTGGACAAAAAAAGTTATAACCATGTCAACGCTAACTCTTGGTAAATTCCTGGAGTCTGCTTTGATAAACGCAACTTCCATTTTTATTTAATGTAAAAAACGCCATTAATATTCCCATAAAATAATATTAACTTTAACAATAACCATAACCTCAAAGAAGTTGTCATAACAGGAGTGACGTCACTAAACGCTGATTGGTGTTTTAATATACGTTCCGTTTCAAGTATTTTTAATTCGTAATAATTGTTAAAAGACAACATTATGTAAAATAAAAACGTTGCAGTGGCATTTCTTTTTTTTTTAACATTTTAATCATAAAATTTTCATAAATATTATATATGCATCTTCCCTATTATGCCAGCATCAACTCTTTTGTATGAGTAAAACACAATAAGCCGTCGATCTCGGGTAGAGCTGCAGTCATTAGAAAGTACTAGACCGCACTAGGCCCGAGTGGTGGATCATAGCCTCATTCTTTCTATTCCTTCCATAAAGGCATTAAAAGGTTGATCCAGCAGTGGGCACATTAAAACTCTGCTGATGACACAACACATAAGCCTGTGTTTCTAAGTCAACTAGGTATGCTCTATTTGACAGTATGAAGATATAAGAAGCAATTATTGGAATTTGTATTCAATAAGAATATAAGCAGCGATCCTACTATTCTGAGAGAAGCAATAATTAATAACTTTTCGAAAAAGTCATTAAATAGAAATGGTTTTTCAGTACCCTTAACACGAACCAATATCGAATTCAAAAAGTTTGCGAGTGCGAAATGTCAAATTAAAATTTTGTATGGAAACTTGAACGGCAGCGCCACAAAGTACGTAACGAGAATTAAAAATCAGTACACATTGACAATGACATTTCGGACTCGCAAACGTTACGAATTCGATATTGGTTCGTGCTAAGGGTACTGTTCTATGGTCACAATCGAAAACACCTGGGTTGGCGAAGACTCAAATGACGTCACACGCTAGTTAACTTCTAGTCAGTGACATTACATTATATCGACGTTTTAATGGCAGTCGTGTGACGTCACATACCAGTAAGATGCCATAATGTCCAAAGAAACGTTTTCGCGGCAACATGAATCCTTTTTTATTTAGTTTTTTAATAAAATACGCAACAAAATGATGGATAATGTCCACTTTTTATAGACTCCATAAACTTTAGAAAATAACGTGAGATAGGTTTTCTAAAACTTGGCAAATACCCTTTTGCAAATAGCATAGTATTCTATTAAGTGTGTGTATGTATATTAAGCAGCCCTTGCTGAGTTTCTTGCCGGTTCTTCTCAGTACAAGATCTCCGGCCGTAGTTTTCCGAACCGATGGCGTAGCTTCTTGACCTTCACAAGTGCTTGTACAGCCTAGACTAAATAAATGACATTTCATTTCATTTCAAAAATATCCGTTCTTATCAGTACAAGGGCACCCACAGTAGATTTGCGAATCTATGGCGTAGTTTTGTAACTTTCATAAATGATTATAAGACTGAAGAAATGAATGTGAGAACCTTTTTTAGAAATAAAGATGAAAGATGGTAATTACCTGTACATCATCACTACATAGTATAAAGCAAAGTCGTTTCCCGCTGTCTGTCCGTATGTATGCTTAAATCTTTAAAACTACGCAACGGATTTTGATGCGGTTTTCTTTAATATATAGAGTGATTCAATAGGAAGGTTTATATGTATAATACATGCCTAATATAGTAGAGAAACACTGATAACTAGCATATGATTAACTAGCGTAAATAGTCTTAAGTAATAAATGAATGGCCCCTCACCTGTTCCCGCAGTTTGGTAAGTTCGTCGTCCGTATAGTTAGAGACAGGTTGTGGTGGTGTCATTTCTTCTTCCTCAGAGCTGGACTCCTCACCTTCCACTGCTAGATCTATACCCATCTCCTGCGACCACAACAACATTTATAAATTCCGTTGTACCGAATGCAACATTTACATGCATCATTTACTGGTGCAAACGAACCACATTACTATAGATCCAGGATGGCCAACCGGTTGATTGTTCAGTCGATCGCCATCAACCGGTCGAACGCGAATTTATGACAAGGAAAGAAAGGGCAAATTGTAGTTCATATTCGTATTAATAATGCACACGAAACCAATCAGTTTCATCTGCACCATTAATGATGCAAGTTAATGATGCAAGTTAATGATGCATTTGGTACATACAACGACGTTTAATTTAAAAAAATAGTAAAAGTCATTGGTGTTCTATGTTTTTCATTCACTACCAGTCACCGTTGGATCGTTAAAAAATCCAATATTTTATACTAAATAAAAACAGTACAGAAATATGCAGGCCATTGTTCTATTCATTGAAATAGTTGAATATAAAGAAAATATTTATATTTGAAGATTTTGTCTGTATGGGATTGAGTAATTAACTACATCTTGTCGTTTCGAAATACGTAAAAAATGGAAAAAAGAACTGGCTGGTAATATAAATAATGTCGTCTAATAAAATACTATACTTTTCACATCATACGGCGGAAAAACATGGACTCCGGCCACTCGTTTCAATTCTATCGTTATTACAGCTTACTTTGCATGGCACGATTTGTCAATATTAAAATATTACGATTGGCGCCGAGAGCTGTGACGCGAAGAAATAAAATATCGTTAAACAGTGGCGGCACTAGACCACATATGGACGTCGGCGACATCAAGTTCGCGAGGCCTATTTTACTTCGCAGTTAAAAACCGTTAAATTAAGTGAGCCAAATTATAAAATAACGTATGAATAAACGAGTTTTATTGTTGATAATCAAATGATGACAATAAATAATTACAAACATAGAAATTTAATTACAAAAATAGTGTTGCCAGACAGACGATTCTGAATACCCGTAAAGTACTACTCGCTTCCATCACGCACGTGTTCGAAAATAATAAAAGTCATTATCATCTGCTTAGCTTTTTCCCCGAATTGTTCGGGGTCGGCTACCTAAGCCAGGCCAGGAGAAACGAAAATAAATAGGTAACTGGTAAAAAATTTTTGCGAGGCCCCCTCAGGCGCGAGGCCGTCGGCGGTGTCCGACGTCGCCGACGCCTAGCGCCGCCACTGTCGTTAAAGTCACACTTTTGACATGTAATATACATAAAACCATAGTTAAACCTGCAGCAATTGTTGATCGTCTCCTTTGCTCCGCTTGTATCCGGAACATGCTACGTCTGCATCCAATCTGTCGTCGCGCTGTAGATCAGAGAAGCGCGGGAACAACTCGCTCTCGTAGCCGAAACGCTTCTTGAAGAACTCGCGTACGCAACGCACGTCACGGTCGAAATATCTGGATGGATTTTATTTGTATTTGCAACGAATCAGAAATTATATGGAAACCTTATTCTCCTAACAAAGGCCGCTAAAACATGGTTCCAAACTCATGCAACTTAACTTCAATACGTCATGCACCCAGTTAAAACAAAATACTTTGAAAAATCATTTGCAGATAGCAAATGAATTCGGATATCCGTTCATTGGATAACATAATGATAAATTGAAATCCCCACCAGTCCCACGATTGTTGATCGTATTTTTTTCGCCCCGCTCACTTGATCGCAGTTTGCATGGAACCGCTTTTAGTGCCGTTTTGTATTCCATATTATTTCTAATTCCTTGTATATTTGGGTAAAAAAATAACCTTGGTGGCTCGCCTATTTACTTTGTAGACATATGCGATAGCTGAATATTAATCATAATGTTGTCCAACCAGGGTTCTAAATAGCGAGATTTCAAGTTTCATATAAGTTCAACTCATTATGAGGTCATTTATTCAAATCTAATTTGTCAGATATTTATGAGAATACATAATTTACCACTAAGATAAAACGTTATTATTGTCAATTTTAAGAATTGCCTAAGATATTTTGTTTTAAACATTCAAGGTCACTAACATTTTAGCTATTAATGGGATTGTTACCATGTACCTTCTTTTTTATGAGTCTCCGATATTTCGGCACTGTTGCAAGCGCCATGATCACGGAGTAACTGAAGTAATTGCGGGTAGATGTTATTGGCAAACATATCGGTCTACCCTCTGACGTCGTCTTTTACTGTGCTTGATACCCCTACCACTGGTCACATTCTCACTATTCACTCGCACCTGTTTCCGACACACAATACTCACAGTATCAGATCGCGGAACGAAAAGTTATTTGATTTTTGCGGTTTTTACACATACGAACCATTGGATTCCACTCACTTGACAATTTAAACCCATCCTTACAATTGAAATTCTTGTGTTTGGTTATTTCAATCGCTGACCAATCTTGGTATGCAGTGGCGTTCTGTCGAGATAATTTGTAGATTATGGGGGAGCTCAATCCAGTGATTAGGGCCTGAATCAATTAAATGTTCCGCGATGGCTGATTTTTCATTATTTCTGACTGCTTTTATGTGTTCTTACATTCGGCACGCTATTGTCCGCTTCGTTTGGCCAATGTACGAACTACCACAACTGCAGTCGATCTTGTATACACCAGGTTTCTCTCAAGGGGAAGTTGTCTTTGGGAGACCGTAGAATCTGTGACACTTTTTGTAAAGGAGTGAAGACAGTATTCAGTGAGTACTTATTAAGTATGTTCGAGATCTTGTCTGTCACTCCTTTGATATACGGCAAAAATAGTAGTTGCCTGTCTACTTTGTGTTTCTGGTGTCTTAATTTGTGTTTGGGTGGAAACTTTCCCTTGTATCCATTATTCTGTAAGATCCGCCGTACATGCTCCAACTTGTCATGCAGGTGTTCCCTGTCACACAAGTCATATACACGGTCAGGGAAGCGATTGAAATAACCAAACACAAGAATTTCAATCGTGAGGATGGGTTTAAATTGTCAAGTGTCTAGAATCCAATGGTTTGTATGTGTAAAAACCGCAAACATCAAAAAAGTGTCGTTCCGCGATCTGATACTGTGAGTATTGTGTGTCGAGAACAGGTGCGAGTGAGTAGTGAGAATGTGACCAGTGATAGGGGTCTCGAGCGCAATAAAAGACGACATCAGAGGGTAGACCGACATGTCTGCCAATAACTTCGACCCGCAATTACTTCAGTTACTCCGTGATCATGGCGCTTGCAACAGTGCCGAAATATCGGAGACTCATAAAAACAAGGTACATTGTAACAATCCCGTTAATAGCTGTAAATCCCTAAAAGTCAAGAAGAAGATATTTCATTATGGCGCCATTTTAGATTTAGTTATAAAGTAAAACGGCGTTTAATATTTTTATTACATCTACGATAAGTAGAGGTAGAAGCTTGCTATACCCATCACACTTGTGGCACTTAAGTATGGCAAATTCTAATACGTCACGCCTCTGTAGTCCTTTTGACATTTTGCCTAACTTTTACACCTACGGAATCCCTATTTATAACGCTTAGGTGCGTTTTAAAGTTTGTTTATATAAACTCTAAAGAAAACAGATACAAAAAGAACTCACAACTCAGCATTGGTATGTGAAGTGGAGACCATCTGTGGGAAGTCGATGATGATAGGGTGGCCGGCCTCGTCTATCATGATGTTGAACTCGTTGAAGTCCCCGTGTATCACACCACAGTTACCCAGACGAACTATGAGGTTCATTAGTTCATCATATAAGGCTTCAGGATCATCCACTGCGGTTACGTGGGTGCTGGTGGAATAACAGATAAATATCTGAACAAAAGGCAAGCTTTACTTGACACACTGGAAAACGGAATAGAAGGGGAAGGATGTTCGGCCACGGCAAATTTGGATTGGCCGCTTATCGGATGGGCCACCATAAACTTATTGGGTCCTGCAAACTATGGAAAATACCTTAAGCCATTGGTCCGAGCTTTATCTCCAGTAATCACACATATAATAGTCCATTCTCCCGATACCATCAATACGGAAGATCAATATCCCAACAGTGGGCATTGGTAGGCTATGATGATGAAACATGAACAAAGGTTAAGATTATATTTTTGTGGTCTTAGTGCAACACTTATGTCTCTGGCTGACTTCCTGTTGCTGCTAAAAAAACTAATATTGTGCAAACTAAAAATGCAAAAATTTAAATTAAATATCATACCTGACCCTACTTCTGTTTTAACAGGTTCTAGCTACTAATTTTTGCCTTTTAAAATACTCAACTAAGTGATAGTTGACAAGTTTTCACCAAGATAAATAAATCAAAGACATCAGGGTAATTTAGCTCCATAATCTTAATCTTTGAAATCAAATCTTGCCTAACCTTAAATTAAATAAATAAATATTTCCAACATTCACACCAATTAGCCTAGCACTGAAAGGGGTGTGTTATGGGATACTAGGGTAATGCATAGAATACATATACAGATACATGCATAAGAATATTTTATGTAGAAATTATTATAAATATCCATGACTTAGGTACAAATACTAGGTACGTATTCATCATATATAACAATTTCCCCACTGGAAATCGAACGCAGGACCTAGTAGGCGACACCTTGAAACCCCATGTTAATTAAATTTAGCTACTTAAATCTAGATGTTGCATTTGCATAACACATCAAGCAGTCTTATTATATGCATACTTACAGAGGCCCTCCTCGCACGAGTTCCATAACTACACAGTGTCTATTGAAGTCTATGGGTTTAGGGACGGGAAACTCTCTATCATACAATGCTTTCATGTAGGCGAACTCTTTCGTGGCAGATATGCGCGACAGATACAACCACGAAGCTGTGTTGCGGTGCGCATGATAGTCCCGTTTGTCTTTTATGTTTCGAAAGCATGTGCGACCTAACCTGTACAAAAAGAAATTGAAGTAAACTGCAATTTATTGAAAAAGTGTTTTTATTGAATGACTAGCGGCCCGCCCTCGCTTCGCTTCGGTGTAGAGCTGAAGTGCAGACTACAGTTTTTGTTCTCAGGCTTGTATTATACACAATGACATTCATCTATGATTCTTCTTATACCTGCATGCAAAGTCTCAGCCCAATCGGTTTAAAATTGACATAGTTTCATACAAACTTTCATTCCCTATTTTATCCCCTTGGGGGTAGAATTGATCAAAATTCTTTCTTAGCGGATGCCTACGTCATAACATCTACCTGCATGCCAAATTTCAGCCCGATCCGTCCAGTGGTTTGGGCTGTGCGTTGATAGATCACTATGTCAGTCAGTCAGTCACCTTTGAGTTTTATATATATAGATTAGTGTCCATGAAATTTATTTGTTATGACTATTTATAACAATATCTCCTGGAGTGAATGTGGTCCAGGAGTCGATTGTTTTTAAATTTTGTCAAGTAATTAAGGTTAAGCATCTATATATTTTGTAAGCCAAGTGTCTTTTTGATTTATAAAAATATTTAATCCCCTGATTTGAACTGGTATTGTGGTCTAAAACTTATAAGTCGTGGTACGAAACTCTAGCGCTGACCGTTACTGCACAGAAGTAAAAATTAAGATGTGTTGAGGGGCAACGAGGTGCGTGGGCGTGCGTTGCGCTGATTGTTTCTCCAGCCGTACCCATGCGCAGCTATCCCTGACGCGGTTTGGTTCAGCGCTAGAGTTACGTAGCGCGACCTGTACTATGGTATTTTGGTCTCAAATATCACCGCACATTCAATCCACCAACCTAGCAACATTTAATCTTCATAATTGTTGATAATATAATATCAAATTAAGATTCTCTATAATAATTCCAAACAGTTCACAACAAAAAAACTAAATAGAGACCCAATAATGAATATTTGTGTTCATAACTTTTTTCTCTCCTGTTTATTAGACACTATGTGAGATAAATAATAGTGGAAATTACCTAGGCAATTGTTTAAACTTAATGTAATATTTTTTATGTAAAAATGAATGCTGTTATTTCCCTAAAAATAAATAAATAACACTAAATGTTTAAAATCCAGAATATTTAGTGAAGAAGACAAGATTGCTACCATTGCACCAATCAATTTGTTATACTGGTGTAACTATGAAGAAGACTGTGTTTCTCTTCATTACCCCATGGTGTAGTAGAGATTGACTAGATGAGACCTTTGATTATCGACACAACTGTATTCCTCAAACTACATACTTACAATAACAATATTAACATACCTATGAAGTTTGAGACACAGTGGATTATGATCTTCATCAGCTACGGTGTAAATATTGGACTCCTTGCCAACACCAATCTGATTACCAAAAGAAGCTATCACTTTGCGATTTGCCAAAGCTTTCAAAGCTAAGTAGTCATAGCCTGCATTGGTGAGACGATATCCATCATCTGTAAATACATCAGTTGTGTGTTAATAAAATTTTGCATAAGAATATTTCCCGTTTCATTTATACATAACATACAATATTGCACTTTACTTGCAAGGATAGCTGGATCTTTTCTCCATTGATTATAACAATTTATTCTACATAAGGGAGGAGCTCGATGGCGGGGGTTGTTATCGCGTTCGGCTGCGATCGTTAAAGTTATGCAACTTTTGCTTCGCATGGTCGGTCATTGAATGAGTGACCAAAAATCTTCTATCTTTAGTACCTCTGTGCTTCGGAAGGCACGTTAAGCAGTTGGTCCCGGCTGCATCTACAGTCGTTAGCACCCGCCAATACGCACTGAGCCCCCGTGGTGAGTCTCCCTATTCTATCCATAGGGAAGGCCTGTGCCACAGCAGTGGGGACATTAATAGGCTGATGATGATGATAAATCGTAAGCTGGATCTTTTCTCCATTTACTTTAACAATTTATTCTAAGAAAATAAATAAAATTATCTCAAACAGTATAGATTAAAAGAATTGTGCTTAGTAAACAGTGAAAAACTACTTCAAGAACAAAAGTCCAATATCTTTTAAATAACATAGACACCACATTAAAGTTGAAAATTATTTTTACGTATGTGATAGGGAATATCATAAATTAAAGAAAAGGTGGATCCTTGGTTGTTGGAGGTTGTAGAAACGTGGGAACATGTGTACGGACAAAGCAATCAAATTGTGATTCAATAGCATTTTTTACAAATAACTGGGCAAGTGGTACCTCGCTTATAGTTTGCCCATACAGTATCAATAAAATTGTTCAATGTAAACTAAGATTAAAATAAAAAGGGAAAATATGGTATGCTCATACTAGCATCAATGAAATATGATCCGACAAACTACATAAGCAACTCTCACACTCTCACACACTCACGAAAAACTGTTTTTGTGAAAAAAAAGTTTTTACAGTTTTACGAATGAAGAGCGTTGCCGAGGCATTTGTTATTTGATTTTGAACTATATATGTTCTTTATAAAAGCATTGAAGGCATTGTTTTATCTTCATAACACAGAATATAAGCAATATTGTTATATTGAGTGCACATGCAGCATGTTTGAATATCCAATTTTGACTAAAGTGAATTGTGGTCATGCACTACAATTTAAGCGGATCACTTTTGAGCCGCGAGTGCCGTATCTTCCCTTTTTGTTTTAATCTAATAATGTAACCAATAAAACAATATAAATGATTACTTACAATGCTTTCCCCGTTCGTATGTTAACAACCTATGTTTACATAGTTCTTTCATCAGTTTGTATACACCACCGTGTCGAAGATTTGCTATGGATGCAACTAAAGACCCCGGGACTAGTTCGTGGTTCTTCATTCCCATTTCAACCTACAATATTATTAGAATTACACATAAGTTGCTGTTTTTTAAGTTTTACTAGATTAATAATAAATGATCACTTCATACCGCTGTCAACACACGAAAGTCTTCTGCAGTTAAATACCGTAATATAGCAACATCTAGTTTCCCCATTTTACCAAAAGTACTAAGCAAAAAGAATAATATTAGAAATTTTTAAAATAAAAACCTATGGATACAAATTCAGAGATACAAATCACATGGCAAATCTGTCAAACTGTCAAGTTGACAGTGACAAACAGCTCACTAGGATTAGGGATATTCGATATACATCGATGCATCGAAATCACGATGTTTGCAATGAAAAACATTGAATTGAACCCGATGTTTTGAAAAACTTTCATATACCTCTCATAAGCTAAAGGTCATGCGCCGTTCTCACTGTCAACTGCTTACGTCATTCGTCAACTCCCCGCTGCGCTGGGTGGGAACGATTGCATTGTTTTGCCGATTTCTCTGTTATTTCGTAAGAATACCCTACACAAACTATATATATATATTTGGACTCTCCATAAAATTTACTATAAAACAGTATCTACACAATGCGTCATGTCTATAGTCTATTTTAATGACGTAACGGTAAACTCGGGAAAGTTATAAAAAGTTGTTTATAGTACACTTTATATCGAGAAAATTACAAAAATAACTAAAACAAGGGGATATGTCTCTTTTATGAAGAAGTCGCTCAAACTCTGGACGTGTGCTTAACCCGTCGATGAAATTCAATACGATTGGCATGATACGTCAATAAGTACAACTTTTGTTCTGTTATATCCACGGACATGGGATCTCCAGGGGTAAAATTGTATTTTGCAACCACTTGACCGCTTTCGAAACCATTTTTAGCGGATCGTACCTACGTATTACCTATTATTTATGGATGCTGATTCGTGTCTACTTCATACAATATTTCCGTGCGTAGAACAGTCATTACGGGGATAACTCATATTACACCACATTGGTCAGGGTAAGGGACACATAAAATTGGGTAGTCTAATAGGCGCATTACCACAGAATACAGGCACAGCATGTGACGTTTCTTTCAATGTTTCAAAAGCACAGATTGATGAGATCATTTCAAAAGTTTTAATTTCAATTTGAAGTTTTAAATAGCAAAAAGTTTATATTTTTATAATTTTTTAAATTTATTGTGGATTGAATAAGATGGATGTGGGATTCAATAATGGTGATATAAAATTGAACAGTAACAACAATGTTTACTATTCTGGTCAAACCATCACTGGAGACATCACCTTCAGATTATTAGATCTTGAAAGAATTACAGGTGACTATTAAATATTTAACCCATTCATTTAAAATATCAATTACTAGTTACCTATACTGTTTGAAATCTTGAATTAGTAGTAGTTGGAAATATTTATATTTTTACATCTACGTCTGCTATTTTACAAAATATATAATTAAAATTTGTTTCTCAGATACTAGTTGACTGAATCTTTACTTTGCACTAATTACAAATATTTAGGGTCTATGCATGCATATTTTCCAGACTTATAAGATAACAACTTTTAACCTTGGACTAATAATTGGCATATGTGCTCTCTCTCTGATAAAACTGTCCACCTTTCTTTTGGCTATAGGTTTAAATATACAATATCTTGGTACGGCCAAGGTGCTTTGGACTGAGATAGAAACAGAAAAACGGAATGGGACCAAATTCAAGAATAAGGTGGAGTATAAGTCACAGGAGCAGTACTTCAACAAAATTGAGTGTCTAGTGGGTGGACAAGGTAATTATTCTAATAAAAAATGGAATAGAAAATAAGACTATTTTTGTGCTGTGCTAATTTAATTTGCTTCTCATAGGTTTTCACAGTGGAAGTCTCTCTCTCTCACTCTCACATTATTTCAACCTTTACTCAGATTCACACATTGGTTAAACATTTAAGGTTTCACTTAAATTTAACATATCGCACCTTTTGAATTGAAGTGACTTAAATAAAAAAAATAGCAAAATGACTTTTAAACGTGAAACAACATAAAAACATGTATTCTATCAGTTTATTAATAATAAACAGGCTCTTTTAGGCCCGAAGAAGACAAACATACTGTTTCCGTCTCTTTTATATGACACACATACCGCCCCTCCCTCAGTATTGAAGTAAATCCCATTCAGTGTTGCGTGGACATTTATTTAATTTTCCTTTAATTTAGAAAATCATTAATTATTAAACTAGCATATTACAAAATTGGTCATCTATCAAATATATAACATCAGAAATTAATCGCCTCTATATTAAATAGTTACGTTTTTGTTTTACGTTGTTAAGTAAAAAATGGGCACAAAGTGTAATAAGCCATTTATAATAATCTGATTTCGGAAAATAAGTGACATATTTTTTTGATGATTAATTAACAAAGGTTGTAATTAGTTATACAGACTGGTTTAGTAAATAATCGTGAAAACAATTCCTATCCTAACATTAACAATGAAAAATATGATAATAAATGTACAAATTATAGTATTATAATAGAAAAACAAAAAAAAGGCCAACTTGTCAATCACATTTATAGCGTTTACCAAAAAACAAGAATTTTGGATTAGGTCACTTCAATTCTAAAGGTGCGATATTAGAAGCCATAAATGTCTTTAAATAGTTTTATGTGCAATTATAAGTATTAATTCCAAGCCATTAAATCAGGGGCATATTTTAAAATCTGCTCTGACAGGATTTGCACCCCCCTTATCTGGCATCTGTTGCTTTTCTATTTGTTGTCCGGAAGAAATAACTTAATGATAAAACACCTATCATTTGTCTACTTAAATTTTTAACATTTTTACAGTGATGCATGTCTGATCATCGAAATACTTTAATGACCTTGATAAATGGCCATCACAACAATGAGGTTTTGTTTAGTTATTGAATGATTGGTTAATAGACTAGCTAGTAGTAGCTACAACAAGTGTGATTAAACAATATAATTTTTCACAAAGGCTCATTCGATGATATAAATGAGACCGATAGAAACAGCATCACAGACAGCAGGTATTCTATTAACTACAACATGAGCAGACAATCCACCAATCTACTATATGCTAACACTATGAAAAGACAAGAGCTAAAATTTTCCATGGGCAAGTGGCTTGTATGCAACATGTCTGTGTCGTTAACATGTGACTAAATTATTTAGTTTCTGTATAGCCTGATGTAACACATTCCCATCATGTCTTAACAATGGATAATTGTGGCGTTTAAAGCATTCATAAATAGGACGATATGATTAATAGTCCAGGAAATGAAGCATTTTGACTCGCTTTTTTTCGTCCACCATGGATTTACTTGAAATTTTCACAAGACACGCTAGAGCCTTGGGGGTGGAATTTTTTGTGGTGGAATCAACAGAAAAAGTAATTCTAAGAATAAAATGTTATAAATACGTTTTTTTCGTAAAACTAATATTTTTTTAGTTATTCAAAGTTGAATAAAATACATCCCCGAGTTTAGTATGAAGTAAAAAAGTAGAGTACCAGGTTCGGCAGCGGGGTGGTCTTTGTCGGAATATATGAAAATTGCTACTTTTTGGTGAGTATTTTTAATTTTGCCGGAGACCCACTGTGACTTGACCACGGCTATATGACCCCCCCCCCCCCTGGCGCCAAAGCTGGATCCGCCCTTGGATCTAGGGTATTTAATATCATTGTAAAGAGATAAAAGACAGCGGGAATGCGCTCTAAGACTTCCTATATCTTCTTACTACGGGCGATTCCGCAACTCGAGGTGCATATGGCGCCTGTTTTGCGTGAGGAAGGTCTAATGCCGGAGTCACTCCAACCAGCTTCGTCAGCAACGCCCACAGGGCCTTCACATCGGTGATTGCCTCTTGGAGGTTTTCCGGCCTGTGAGACTTACCACTTAAAAGGTTAAACATTTGCAGGTGTAACGGAGCTAAAGTCGGGGCAGCACTCCATTGCCTTTGAGTTCCAGATACCGGCGACTGTCCCATCATCTTTTAGATCTGACAAGGGCGAAATTATTTATGAGATCAGGGCATATCTGGAGTTCCCTGATGTCACTAAGGCGAGAGGAGAACTTGTGAAAATATTCGAAGTGGTGGCGCCGTTCGATTTGAATAAAGAGGATCCACGTATAAATGTAAGTTTCTTAAGATCTTAAGGCGTTGAGCAGACGACGGGGCAGGGCGGGCATTTTGCCCGCGAAGCAATAAAGACCGCGTCTGCCCGTCGATGTCTGCGGCTGCCCGCGCCGCGTACACAAAGCACACGACGGGCAGAGGCGGCCAGTTCAGGACGTTCGTTCTAGTGAATAGTCCATCACTAAAAAGCGCGCGGCGCGGACTGAGCTGACCGCCCCGCGCCGCCGTCTGCGTTACTGCATATAAACTGGTTTGTATGATCCACGGCGGGCAGCCGCGGACATGCCGCGCCGCCAGTGCAAAGCGCCTAAAAGTTGTAACAACTGTTGACTGACGACCGATATTTTGACGCCTCACTGGTGGCATTTTCTTATCAATAACCATTAAAAACCCGTGAAATATCTCTAAACATAAATGTTCTGCAATAGTTTCTAAAGGAAAAGTCTGAGCTGGGCAGTACATGTGGAGTGGAGCCATTATGAATGTTTTGTGGACAGCAACCTTTGAAGATTTTCTTCGAGGAAGAGTACGGCTGCGACTGCTTATTTAAGCCAGGCGTGCTCGCCGTGGAAGCGGAGGCTGCGGCGGCGGCCGCCTGCCCCGGACAATGTCTGCCCGTACAAGTTCGAGCAAAGAATGACGCGAATTTTGAAATACGATATGTTCGTCTGCAACTGTTATCGGTGAGTTTATATTATTAATAAATATAATTTCTTGTCTCCCTTAAACTCTATTCTAGGATTTTATCATCTAGGTCCTAGGTAATCTTAATCGGCTAGACCGATTTTAATTAAATTTTAAGTACCTACGTATAGCGTTAGCGTGAACAGGATAGGTAGTATTTGCGTTTTAATGAGGTTATAATTTATTAAATATATTTATCAGGTTTACCCAATTTATTTAAAGTCAGTGCAATTTGTTTACTCTGCTATTCTTTGTGATCACACGTCATTTCATTCAACACTTACTGCTTTCTTATATTTAATGGTTAAAGATTTTTTTTTATTTCTCAAAAAGAATAATACAATTCACTTACTGAGAAAAATGAAGTTTTAACGTAATGCATATAACACTTGAGCGTACACATAATAATAAAATCAACGTGGGTAGATCGAAATTTGTATCGCAACTCGCACAGTTGCACTAGGCAACCACGGATGTACAAAGAACGGTCTGTGTGGGATCGATTCTAGATGCGGCATGGCATGTTTGATGTAAATTAAATAGACTAGGTTTAATTTTTCCATTTATTTATGAACTTCGCAGTTAAATGCTTAAGGCGCTTTTGGAAATTAATGGAAATATTGAACAATACTGAAGTCGATAGCAAAGATCAAAGAATAATTAGAAACCTATACTGGAACCAGTCGGCACACATCAAAGTAGGAACATCAAGTACAGATGAGATAAGGATTCGTAAAGGAGTGAGACAAGGATGTATCTTGTCACCATTGCTGTTCAATATTTACTCTGAAACTATATTTCAAGAAGCTTTCGACGAATGTGAAATTGGCATCAGGGTCAACGGTACAGTAATAAATAATCTCCGATATGCCGATGATACTGTTATCTTAGCTCATTCTTTAAAAGATCTCCAACAACTCATGAACCGCTTAAATACTGTAGTGGAAAAGTATGGTCTAAAAATGAACATATCCAAGACCAAGTACATGATAATGAGTAAGAATTCAGTGGATTCGACTACGTTGTCTCTTAACGGAAACCAAATTGATAGGGTCAAACATTACAAATACCTAGGAAGCACTCTTAATGAAAAATGGGATTCCCAGAGGGAGATTCGTGCGCGAATAGAGATAGCAAGAAATACATTCATGAAAATGAACAAGTTATTTACCAACAAGGACATCAACCTGAAACTCAGATGGAGAATGGTAAAATGCTATGTGTTGTCTGTATTCATGTACGGCGTCGAAAGCTGGACCATAAACAAAACCATAGAGGCAAAAATAAACGCTTTTGAGATGTGGCTCTACAGAAGAATGCTCAAAATATCGTGGAGAGACCGTGTAACTAATATAGAAGTTTTGCATAGAATGAAGAAAAAATTGGAACTTTTGGAAAAAGTTAAGAAAAGAAAGATCTCATATTTTGGACACATTTATCGAAATAATAAATATCAATTTTTGCGAAGAATACTAGAGGGGAAGATAGAGGTACAAAGAAGTAGAGGACGGAGAAAGTTAACCTGGTTGGACAATATAAAGAACTGGACAAATATTGAGGACGCTGCCAGCCTGAGCAGGATGGCTCAGGATAGGGACAAGTTCAGAGGAATGGTCGCCGACGTCCGATGAGGACAGGGCACTACAAGAAGAAGAGAGTTAAATGCTTAAAAAAATATATTGCTTTTATTTATTTAGTTTAACTTTTTTATATTATGTTAACTTTTTATTAATTTACTTTAGGCAGGTAAAATTATTTATAAATTTATATAAAACAACATGTTTTTTTATAGTTTATCGATATAGTAGATATATATTTCACAAAATCTTATTATTTTTTTTTTGCCCCAATAAAAATAAGATATGAACATATCTGTCTTATTCAATGATGTCGATTCTGGCATGATTCTCTAAAGCTAAACTTAAATTTGACAACAGTGCATCCCTGTCATTCTCTATACAGATAGAAAAGGAGAGACTGATGTTAAATTTAGTTTTAAATTTAGAGAATCACGCTAGAATCGACACCACTGTTGTATAATTATATTTGAAGTTTATACTTATTATGATATTAATAGATTTCTTCTAAAATATAATTTTTGAGCTGTTTTTTAAAACTTATCCTCATATATTTCGTATGTTATTGATCAGCTTTTTTATATCCACATTGATTAGGCACAAGCCTTCCCTATAAATCGAATAGGAAGATTGCGCACTGACTCACCACGCAGGCCCTGTGCGGATAGGTGAGTGCTAGACTGCAGATGCAGCCGGGACCAACGGCTTAAACATGCTTGCCGAAGTATTCCATAATAATGTCATGGTCACCTATTCGACGATCGGATATTGCGAAATTTGCTTAACGTCCACAATCGCAGACCGAACGTGTGTCATCGAGCTCCTCGTATCTTTGAATGGTAAAAAAAATAACATTACTGTAGATGGCGCAAGTGGTCAGCGCGCGTTGAAGTTAAGCAACTTGCGCAGTGGTCGTTTATTGGATGGGTGACCAAAAATTTATTATGTCTCACTGCACGGAGGGTGCTTCGGAAGGCACGTTAAGCCCTTGGTCTCGGCTGCATCTGCAGACGTTAGCACTCACCTATCTGCACTGGGCCTGCGTGGTGGGTCATGGCCTAATCCTCCTATTCCATCCCATAGGGAAGGCCTGTGCCCCAGCAGTGGGGACATGAAACAGGCTGATGATGATGACTATTACCCATAAACAGAAGCAGCGGTTCCGCAGCCAATACCCAATAGCCGAATCGTCTAACCCTGACGAAGAACTGGCGTCAGTGAAGACTGGCCCCGTGATGACCGGAGTGAAGAGGAACTACCAGCTGTGTCTGCAGATGCCGGACATTATAGCACCGAACCTGACCAATTGCTCCATTATACATGTGGAGTATACTCTCCAGGTGGGTGAACAATATCTGTCTATACTAAAATTATAAATGACAGCGTCTATCTTCACGCTTAAATCACTAAAACGATTGAATTAAAATTTGGTATTAAGGACATAGGGTAGTTTTGTTGCAGAAATCATCGTTTTTTTTTGTTCATAATTTTTGAGGCAAACGGCCTCGTCCACCGCAGCCGTCACCGAGACGTCAATGAGAATGATTTTTTCTGTACTACAAACATGAAGACATTTCTCGCCGCTTGCCACCTAGAAAATGAAGATACATATAAACATCTCTACATCTTTAACTTTTTAGTCTTTATTCAACATGCATAGAAAAAAGTCTACTTATGTCTAGGCTGTATGGATTTATATCCAAAGTTGTTAAATTTATGAATAATTATAATGATTATTTCTGTATATCAAGATGAGGTGACGGACTTGCGGTCGTGAAGCGACTATTAGTAAATATTTGTGTCGCTACAACGGCGCCGTCATCATCATTCATCATCAGCCTATTAATGTCCCCACTGCTGGGGCACAGGCCTTTCCTATGGATGGAATAGGCACGTTAAGCCGTTGGTCCCGACTGCATCTGCAGTCGTTAGCACCCATCAATCCGCACTGGGCCCGCGTGGTGTGTCATAGCCCAATCTCCGTATTCCATCCATAGGGAAGGCCTGTGCCCCAGCAGTGGGGACACTAATAGGCTGATGATGATGATGAAATTTCGCTTAATATTCGTTCAAAAAGTGTTGTACTAAATGATTGATGTGCATGAAAACCATATAAATAAATACGTATTACTTAGTCATGTTTTGATTGTAGGTGACCGTTAAGTTGTCGGGTTTGCACAGTGACCTCATCGACAGTTCTCCGTTCTTCATCGGGCTGAAGCCTTTCAGCGACTTCGGGAAAGGCCCCTATGTTCACCCTATGGCGCACAGCCTACCCTCTGGTCCTATCCCAGACTATGTTCCTTCCCAACCTACTACCAACCCTGTTCAAAGAAGTGAAATAGGTTTTGTGGAATCTATACCCTCACCCGCAATTTTAAACCAGAGCTTTGTGTCTCAACAACCCAATTGCTCCCAATACCCTGGAACTGGGTATAATTACAATCAATCGGGTTATTCTCACCCTAATCAACCGGTTCCTGGTTATCCTAATCCACCGATTCCTGGTTATCCTACTCAACCGGTTTCTGGCTATCCTCATCAACCAGTATCTGGTTATCCTATCCAACCGGTTACTGTTTATCCTGGCAACTATCCTGTTAGGAGTCCTAATTCCAGTGGATATTCACCTTCCGCGCCATCGATATAATGTGTTTAATTTTTATTTATTATTAAATTGAGGTTACTGCAATTAAGAAACACATAGAATACCAGGGGACCATTCGCCTAACGGAAATGCTTTGGAAAACTCTTAACGCTTACGATTTCATTTTGTTATTTCTAGCCACCTGAGGTTTTCAAATGCCTCGCGCTCTTTTTTTTCTTTTGCATTGGTAATAACAATATTAAAAAAAAATGAGCGTGAGCTATTTCAAAACTTTCGGCGGTCAGAAATAACAAAATAAAATCGAAAGCGTTAGCATTTTCCAAAGCATTGTCGTTAGGCGAATGGCCCCCAGGTTCGTGCCATTGTCCGTGCCCTTGTAGGTAAAACCTACATTCTTCTTTATATACATCCAGAGGTAACGTTGAATATTCCACATGGAAATACTCCCTCTTTTTAGTAGTTATATTAAGGATACTGAAAATGCTTAGTAACTTTTTAATCATTTGGATAACCTTTTTTAAAATTATATAGTTATGTCTTTGATTATTTACTCTCTAGATAGAGCGTCGTTTTGTAGACACTGCGATAAAAAATGACCAGATTTTATATATTTGTTTGTGGGACACGCAAAATGAAACACACGAATCTTAGTTTTATAGTATGTCCATGGGTACGAGACTGAAACTCTTTTTAAAGTTTTTCAAAAATAGATTCTATTTTTTTGATATTCCGTCCCGTTTTCGAGCAATTAAATTTATATCGATATAAAATAAAACTTTTCTCCATCGCACTGTTGCAATCGGTAAATATTTTGATTACGCCATACAATATTTTTTTGGGGAATTTTGTAATGAGACACTAACATGACTTTGAAAATGTCAAGATGGGAGTCGGTAATTTTTTCAACTAATATGATGATTTAGTTATATTTTTATAGGTGAATAATGAGTTACTTACCGATGGTAAGTGGTTCATTGTTTTTATGCGTCCTTTATAATTTCGGCATACTTTTATCGCACATCTCGGCATTTCAAAGCAATAATTTTAACACGAAAATCTGTTATTGACGTGCGTATCGCTCAGCATTACATTGAACATTAACCCCGTTATTAATAAACAAGGTATAAGTTTAGACTAGTTACCCCGTGCTTTGTTCATGTCACTCAAATGCCATTTGTCATTCAAAAGACAGACAAAACATGGAGTAACTAATCCATGCGTAGTATTCGTTTATTAATAAGGGGGTTAGAGACGGGAAACGACTTAGGCCCGTATTACAGAATGACAAGGAAGTGTTGATCTTTACTTGAGTACAGTTAGAAAGGGATATCGCTATGTGCTTTATATAGCGACATCCCATTCTAACTATGCTCAAGACTAGATCAATCACTGAGAATCTTTCTATAATATGGGCTTTTTTTAGAGTCCAGCATTGGGCTGATATTTTTAGCCACGCGTCATCTGCGCTGCCACGCTCTATCTAGGAGTAAATAAATCAAAGAGTTATGTCTATATCTCAAAATACCTTGTCGACTTTTCTATTCTTAAACCCCTGTTGATAATATTGCCTTAATTTCAAACATATTCAGTAAGTTCATCGTGGCTAGTCAAATTAATAATCACATTAATATATGTTTAAGATATAGATGGAACACGGAGAATCAATTAGACCAAAGGTCAGGGGGCCAATCGCCTAACTGAATTACTTTGGAAAATGCTATCGCTTACGATTTCATTTTGTTATTTCTAGCCACCTGAAGTTTTTAAATGCCTCGCGATCTTTTTTTTTTCTTTTGCATTGTTAATAACATTATTAAAGAAAATGAGCGTGAGGTATTTGAAAACCTTCGGCGGTCAGAAATAACAAAATAAAATGGAAAGCGGCCCCCTTGGTGTTAAATTTTGAGTTCGAATCATATTATAATACTTTTTTTTGTTTTAATGACTGTTACATTATTCAAAGTTGTATTTAATTGTCTCTATTAATGTTAACTTTTTAAATGTTACCAAATATGAAAAGAATTATATTTTGAACCAACTTAGTCATAGTTTTATAGACACTTGTAATAAGCAAGAAAAATAATATTTAGACTATTTGAAGGCAAATAATTTTAAGTTATCAAGAATAATTTTTAAATTATATTTAATATTTTTTTTTGGTACCTTTACAACAAAAATGCAGCGAATTGCTAAGCTGCTACCAATTTCATGTTATACAAACCATGATGTAATCATGATATGTAATTAAGTAGGTATTAAATTAAAATTTACGTATTAAATTCATTTTTATTTAGGTACCTCGGAGACGGTTCTAACGATTTATATAAAATTTTGTATAAATATATATTTTTAAGATTACCAATGTATGTAATTAAATACACAAACTGTATGTGTGCACACACAGTACAAAACTCTTAGGGCCTGCGCTGCGCGTGCTTTAAATTGAACAAGTTGTTAGTGAACAATCAATGGTGCTTTCATCACAAATATATATTTAAGTAGTTAACTACCTCAACATAATACAGATAAGTAATTGTTATTTTTGTAATCTCTCTTGTGTAATTGTTATTTTTGTAATCTCTCTTGTGTAATTTATATATATTTTTTTTATATATTTAGCAGTTGTTATATCATAGTAATCTATTTTTCAATGACTACTGAAATGATGAATTACATACATATATAAAAAAATGCTTTTTACTGTTACCAAATAATTCATTGCAGGTGAGCATGCGAAGTTACTCAGAGAGAGACTATACGGGCGCACCGTATAATTAATTTTAGTACAGACCCTTAAAAATCGTTTCCTAGGTAAATCATCACGATTATAAAAACACCAGAAGTAGTGTGTAGTTTATTCATGCACAAAAGAGAACACGAATACTGTTTAAATCGTTTATATATTTCAATAAAAATACACAAAATATTTATTGTAAAAATCAAATTTCATACTTAAAGCATTAATCCATTTTCGTTTCATAAAATTTCAACAATGACAAAACCTGTCGCATTTTATTCTTAACCGGTTATAATAAGCATTTTTTTAAATTATGTATAAACAAAAAATAAAATTTAATATTTAAATATATCTAAAAAGTAATTTCAACACAGAATCTGTTTTCTTTATTTTGCCCAAATCCTGAACAGTCAATTTAAGTTGGGATAAAATGTCTGAAAATATGAAAATTAACCAAATAATCTTATTTTTATTAAATTAGTTAACAAGATACTGACGAGGCGGAAGATTAAACATTGTAGGAGAAAACTCCCAGTTTTCCATAGTTTAACACTCCGATTATTAATGTGCATTGAAATCTCGTTACAATTTTATTTGTGGTCTAGTAGCAATAACTTATTCAATGAGGTAGTGAGTTTCTTTCAGTTTCTTTTACCATAGTATACAGTCTTGTAAAGTGCAAATATGAAATTTTATAAAGTCACAAATTCAACTTTACCCACTAAGTAATTAAGATCACGTTACAGACAGTTTTTGTAGTGAGAATAGCCCCACCATTTAAAACTACATTTAATTATATTTCATTAGGTTTAAATGTGATGTGCGTTTACCATGGGCAGTACATGACAGTCTGTCAGCTTTGTCGTTCCCTAAACATGTAAATAATTATCTAAAAGTAATTAACACTTAAATGCATTATAGAAGCAAACACTCAAAGGCGTCATTATAAGGATTGTCAGAGTATTGTACTGTCTAGAATAAAGTGACAGCTTTTAGTTGGATTAGTAATTGACGTCTCTGAGTGCGGTCGTAAATCGTTAATATAAAAAACATAGTTTTGGAGGCACTTATATAAAATGACTTCTTTGCTTAATTGTAAGACACTCTCTGAAACTTGAGAGTCAACAGTGTATAATATACCAAGTTAAGATTTAATCTAAACTACACTTCTGGACACATCTATTGGCCCACCTTGTATTTTCAGTTTCGTTTGGTCCTAGCTAAAATTTTATATTAGGTCGAGCAAAAAGTTTTATGCGATTTTGAACCTGACACATTCACAATTTCATTCAATAGTCTTTTTTTGAATTTCGAACACAGAATTTAAAGAAACAAAAGACAATTTGGAGCCTGTTTGTTGATATCAAACAATCGAATACTAACAAAACTTGGTTTTATTGGTTTACTTGGATTTAATTCTTGAAAAAGTGATTGATATCTTTGGTTTTGCAACAACCATTACTTATTCTTAACATTAAGGTGAGATTCTATCAATAATCTATGGATACTTCACCTGAAGTCGCCGCCCAAGCTGTGGCACTTATTCAGGCCGGACACAGCCAAAGAAACGTGAGTGCTCAACTTAATTTAAGTCGATCTGCGGTCCAAAATGTTTATCGGAGGTACCTAGAGACTAGTGGCTTTGTTCGTCGCCAAGGAAGGCCACGATCTCGGGTCACAACTGAAAGGAAGGATCGATTCATCGTGACGACCAGCTTGAGAAATCGTCACCTTACCTCCATTGAGATACAAAACCAACTTCGCGACTTCCACGGAGTATCTGTGAGCGCTCGAACTGTTCGGAGAAGGTTAAAAGAACGCGATATGGTACCACACAAGCCAGCTAATGGGTCCAAACTAACGCGAGCCCACCGAACAGCGCGCCTTCATTTCGCACGTCATTTAAATTGAACACAGCAAGATTGGAGCCGTGTACTCTTTTCTGATGAGTCTAAAATTGTGTTACATGGCAATGATGGAAGGAAGAAGGTCTACCGACGTAAGGGAGAGCGTTTCGCACAATGCTGCTTTGAAGAGAGGGTTGCTTATGGCGGTGGCTCATGGACTGTCTGGGGCGGTATATCCGCGAGTTGTTGGAGTTGTTATAAACTCAACTTGAGGTTGTTACAGGACCACGGCTGCCATTATTAAATGCTGAAAGGTACATTCGTGAGTGCTTAGAACCTCACGTGATACCATACGCGGACTATGTGGGCCCAAATTTCCTTTTTATGCATGAAAATGCAAGAGCCCATGCGGCCGGCATCGTCAGGGAATATCTTCGGGATGTGAACATCACAGTTAT